ACTGTTCATTTGTAATTTGATTGATTGGATGGGAAAAATAAATGAAGCAAAAAATCAGACGGCGCTTAAAGCATAATGCATACATGCGTGCATGTGTGTATATCATTTGGTCATTTGGTATGTTCGCTTGTGGATAAATTGTTGTTATGCGCACTCAAATAGAAGGAATACGAATCGGAAGAGAGTGAGATAGAGAGAGGCAGAGAGAGAGAAGAAAAGGTCCCATCAAAAATGAAAGAGCCAAGAATTGCAAACAGATATTTGGCCAAAGTGTGTGTTGGATGTATGTGTATGCATGAGAGAAAAGCGAATAAAATCACAAAAATATAGCAACAAAATTTTATGTGTGCATACCTGCCCTTGGAATGTTTAAGAGAATCAAAACAAATACGAAGCATTATGCACATTTGCAAACATTGTACAATTTAAGCTAGATGTTTTTGGTACTCGATGTGCACTCTTCGTTCATGTTTCGTTCGTCTTTTGTATACAATGTTCTCCTTTTTTTCTCATCTAATTTCATCATTTTTGCAATTAAATAGCAACCATTATATAAGAAACCTAAATGAAAAGTTCTGCACATTTTTTTTTTTTTTTTTGAAAATGCGGCCGCTTTCGTGAAATGTATTTTAATTTATATGATTGTAGACATTGTTGTTTGTGTGTTTGTGTGAGTAAGTGAGTTTTCTTTAGCTCTTGTTTTATGTTTCGTTCGCATTCCACTCGAAGCGATAACAATGATATGTCATTATGCAATTAACGGCCTAACAATAAGCAAATATTTTCAATTATTCCTTTCCTTTTCACGATCTTCATTAGTCGCCGATGTATGGCGATGTGTTTAGCGGCTCTTTCATCCTTACATCACAAACGAAACATTATTATTTATCGTTAATTTTGTGCATGTAAACTCATTATCGTGGCTCTTCTTCATTTATTTACTTATCAATTTCCATAAGAGCTTGAAGTTCATCTAAATAATTGATACAATACCTATTTTCACGAACCGGTTTTTTATCCACTCGGAGTCAAATCCGCTGAAAAGAAAAAGATAGAGAGAGAATTGACCGCATAAACTTGAGAAATTATTTTTTTAAATGAATATATGGTTGAAAAGGAGTCGACATTCCATTCGGAATCGTGGATGGGTCGCGACGATTGGAATTTCTTTTTGATCGAAAAATGAAGAAATAAAAAAAATGTTGGTGATCGTTTATGGAACTCATTTAATCATATATAGCGAGCATCGAAATCATTGTGTTGTGGTGTGCTTTGCAAGTTGTTTAGAGACTCAATTGGATGATGATGGAATTCATTAGTTACGTTAAAAAACCAAAAACTAAAAATCGAATGGGTGGTCTAATTAAATCATCAAATTGGAAGCAACATATTGAAGACACACGAAACATCGATCGCGATCTCCTACGCGTGCGCTACAATTATGCCCAAAATATTATATTATACGCTAATTGGCCTACAGGCTACTCTAACATCGAATCTGGTCAAATTGAGCAATTAATAATGGGTTATGATTTTTGGCCGTTTGAACACATAAAAAGATGGATTGGCAATGGTTTTGATCAGCTTATGCTTTGCAGCAGTCATTTAAAAGGACACATCGCTCGTTTCAAATATCGAAATATAAATGAAATTTCATTAAATAATGTTAAAACAGTAAACAAACGATCGAACTTTGTCTGACTTAGTCAATTTCAACAATTTCCGCATCATAAATTTGCAAAATGGAAAATGTATAAACGGATCAAGAAATTTAATGAACGTAGTAATGTGCATGGAAGCCGGAAATAATGAAAAATCCACATCAATATTGCGGCCTCTTATCTCTGACTGCATACGGTGACTAATGCCAGTAATTAGACAATGTTTGTTTTCAAGTTCATGTACGACTTCATTATACGGATTGTGAATTATTTGAATAATAAATTCAATGCGAAAAAGATGAGAATGATGATGACGATGTTGGTATTTTCCTCTTCAATTCTTCTTCTATTTCTCTTTCATGTGCCCTCAGTAACAAGATGTCAAAGCATTCAAATAACATCAGATTTAATGACATACTTAACCATCATCTCTCGTCAAAATCGGCATGGTAATTTCGAGCATTGCGCAAGCGTTTCCACAGACACCAGTTGCATGCACATCCACTTTTCGAATGGTTTTTTGTTGTTGTTGTTTTGTTTTATATGTTCTGCACACTGAATGCACCTTTTGCATTATATCTATGCTACTAACAAGGAGACGGAAAAGCCTATATGTACAGTGTACACATTTCCCATCATATTGTAATGTGCATTGCAATAAAATTTCACGACACATAAATTGATACATTATTTCCATTTATGCGATCAATCATCATACATCATCCACCAGAAATGCGTTGACTTTTTAGTTTGCCGGTTTTTTTTTCGCTGCTTCATTTAATTTATGTGGATGTCGAATGGTTTTCTGAATATCTCGCAAACAAAAGAAACAATTTCTATGTTTATATTGTAATTGTAACGACTTTGCATCAAACATTTTGCATCGTTAATTCTTCAACTAGCAAAACGCTTGTTACCGTGTCCATTCTAATGCGACAACTATATCACGACCATAAATGAGCCGGCAGTCATTTAATGTGCGTTGATGTCAGCAATTTGTTTGTTTGGCTTTTTTCTTCGTATTTTTTATTCCCCATATTCTTTCGGTGCCATGCATGGCCACATACACACACATCATTTATGACTTGAAGGTAGAAATGCAAACAAATTTAGTTACTTTATTATCGAAATTAAGACGAAATTGAAGAGTCGTGCTTATCTTTATGAATCCATCATCGCAAATTAGTAAATCATTTCAGCAACAATGGCAAAACCAACAAATCATCCAATGATTATACTTATAATATATTTGATGTGGTTCTATTCGGCATGCATGTTTCATTTTTGTTAACTTATCGATATAGCATTTAACATGATATGGTTAACATAAAATGATGCAGAAATTTTAGAAAAAAATGTACGTCATTCGATTTGCTTTGGACTGTTTATTGAAAAAAAAAAAAAAAAAAAAATGGAAAATATCGTATGCAAAGATATCTTTGCACAGCGCACGTGGTGGTTTTGCCATTTCTGTATCATTTTGTTGGTGTTTTATCAATGAAAAATCCATCTAGAAAATCTTACATACAAACACGCATTCATAACAAACGCACACGATCACACGCACAACGAAAAAAATGCAATATATTTTCATTTGAATGCTTTGTAGTTTCGAATGTCTTGAACATATTATCAAATGAAGATTGGTGATGATGACGATGAGGACAACAATACAAGCGGCCAATTGGCATTCTACTATGCTCATTTCTTTTCTCTCGCATTACACATTATACACGCCGTTTGTCGAATTCGAATACGAACGAACGAACGAACGACCGACCGACCGACACCAACACACAAAACACCAGCCGACACATGTCGAGTGTGTGTATGAAACGAAAAATTGTGCGAACAGACCTCCATATAAGATCCAGCATAAGCGTGAGCGCAATGCAATGGTCGCGACGCACAGACGCACACTCATTTTTATACACATACGAACATGCCGACAATATAGTTTTTGTTTCGTCTCTTTCTCTTCTTTCGTCTCTGTTTTCGTTTCAAGTGTGTATTAGAGTGGCTTCACATTTTCACATTTAAAATCGAAATATTTTTTTATGCAATTTGATATTTCGAACTTTCATCATATATCCAGTACAGTATGAATGGGACTCGATTTAAAGTCATGTAATTGTCTTATCTAAAAGAAACTCAACTGGCCATAGATCGGTAATTGGTTGTTGTTTTTTGAGTTTGTGTCATTTTTTCGATTGCTACATTATGATTGGTAAATTTAACCGAAACACCCTATTATACATGCCTTTAACAATTTAGTGTCTAGACAAAGGTGTCTTGAACAAACCCAAGTTATTTCTATTTCACGTAACCAAAACAAAATAATATTTCAATTCATTTTGTGACCGTTTTAGTTACATTGTATAGGAACGAAGGAAAATCGTCTTGTATTTCTTCGTTTCGTTGAAAATGCTCGGTTATATGTAATTGAAATAGAATTTGAAAGGGGAACATTGAATTGATGATTTCTGGTGGGAAAATTGCTTCGCGACAAAAGAGAGACAAGCGAAAAAAAATAAATAATATAAATCACTGACCATAATGACGATCGAAGTGATTGAAAGAAAAGAATTGCAACCGTTTTTCCTGCAAACCGTACATTGGAAACACCTGCATTCATCAACGTAATTTTAGCGAATATTTCCGAACAAGACAAACCATACCATACACACCGACATATACGCGCGCGCGCACACACAACCTACACACAGAATCGAACACACGAAACCGAAAGACGGGCCGCTGCTGCCGTTGATATGTGTAGAATAGGCCGCACACACATACTGAACAAAACACCATACATAATACGATTGTGTATACTAAATGGATACACATTGAATTTCATTGATACTATAGAGAATTTCATACGTACATTTGGAACATACATGAGTGAAACGTAAAACCAACAACAACAACAACATCCATTGAAATTGAATGTATGAAGAACGGTACGGTGTGAGAGTGTTTTAGTGGCGCTATAGATCCCACGCTGGTACTCTATCGGCTGGTGTTACAACTAAACACACGCTCACAATACGGTGTTGCTGCTGCTGTTGTTGCTGTTGAAAGATATATTTTTTCGAATGCCCGTACGAATAATCAGTATGACTTAAGGAATAGAGGAGATAAGTGCGATACGTACGAATGTCGCTGATCAATTTATTTTTATTTTATTCTGTTTTCAAAATTTAATTTCGTTCATTCGTTTTGTGTTTTGTATGTACGGTTTTTCGTTTTCGTTTATCCTGTTTTTTATTATTAAATTAAAAAAAAATCGTGAAAAAATACGGTCTGACACTTATTTTTTTCGACAAATAAAATAATAAATAATCATGAAATAGAACCATAATCGAGCAAAATAAAAAAAAAAAATAAAGAAAAGAAAACGATACAACAAACCGATATATTTAGGCGTGTGCGGCTTACAATTAAAATCATATAGAATAATCTATATGGTAACCATCGATACAGTTTATTTCTCAATTAAATTTGAAATATCATCGACAACAACTGAATGAAATTTATAGAAAAAAAAGAGACTCAATCAAACAACACAGATTTGAGAGTGAAAGAGACAATGAAATGAAATAATCGTAGCAAAAGTCTATCGATTAAACGAGGTTAAAATACACGAGCATGAGAAAGACAGCGAGTGTGCTGTAAGAAAAAAAAATTATAACGTAAACGAACTGGGCTGTTTGAATTAATCAATAGAAGCCAAAAAACACTGAAGTTTTTCTCAATGGAAATGAAGAAATGTTTATACTTTAAATGTAGTTGATTATGGTGCTGACGACATTTAACCATCGCCGAATAACCCGCTTACGAAGAAAATAAATAAACATTCAAGTGATGAAACTGAGAGAACAACAACCAAATTGACCAAAAGTGGTGTGACGTGAAATAAACGTTTTATTTTTTTTTACGGTGAATTGTAATTTTAACATATCGTGCGCCACACACAAACAAAGTAAATAGTAATCATCATCATTGAGAGGCATATCGATCATAAACAAAAATTGATTCAATTCATTCGGAATTGAGACAGACAGGGGGGTAAAAGTAGCGGAAAATTCTCAGTGAGATCAATAGCCCTGAATGCGCTGAATGCATTCTAATCAATTGTGCAATTTAAGCGGATTGATGATAGACACACACACACACTCATCTATATGTGTGTATGAACTAGTTTGATTTGATCGAACACAGTGAAGCAGAAAGAGAGAACACCAATTGCAAATATTCTCGCCGAATTTCAGCAGGAACAAAAGGAGCAAATATAAAAATCATCATATCACTATATTCATTATATACAATTTTTCATTTGTTGCAATCGAAACAAAACCGACTTTTTTTTTCTTGTTGTTGTTGGTCGAACAGCGAATTGTTTACGAACGCCGCCGTGATTTACTTCGGTTCGATTATCCCTTGGCTATTTGGTGTCGATTAAATTAAATACGAAACAATGCGGCGACGATAACGAGATTGATGCGAATACTTTGACTGATGATTTATTTGAATACAGCACATACACATGCATAAATTGTATAACAAAACTGAAACGAGCATATTTTTGAATAAACTTTGAGGAATCAATTGAAGATTGATTGAAGACCAGTCGCTCTCTCAACCAATCGATTGTCGGATTTTCATCAATTTCGATGTACTGTACATGTTGTGTGTAAGAGAAAGAGAGTGCAAAAACTATCTGATTGTTGCGCGCGCGAGTGCTATAGTGAGTAAAAAGTCAAATGAATATAAAAAAAATCACTGCTTTGAATGCGAAATACTGAAATAACATTTTTTTTAAAAAAAAAGAGGCAAAGAACGATCAAAAAATCATCAGATACATGTGTGCGTATACGTTTAAGCATCTCTAAACGTCAGAAAGACAAAAACGAAACAAAATTGAAAGAAGAAAAGAAAAATAAACTTGCTTATAAACATATAAGACGCTATAGCGCGCTTTACACATAACAGATACTGAAGAAAATCGTGCAGTAATATGTATGTTACGCCACGTATGTGAATTCTGACTGTGAGTAGTATATGAGCATTGTGAGTGTGACAGAGCAAAATACAAACGGCAAAAAAAATAAAACACCAACAATAAAACGACAGCAGCAACAACAACAACAACAATACTACATATCCGATAGCAAGAGTCCATCGCATACGGTGTCGAATACGCTGTTCCGTACAATAGCTAAATGTATCTAAGTTTTTATGTAAGGAAATATGCGCACACATCGCGATTGTGATGATATATAAATGTGCATTGACTTATGTGTGTGTGCGCCGTGCATGTTGTGAGTGGCGGAGAATCTCGTCGAAAAGAAATTCGGTCTAACTTAAAGACAATGACATTACGAGCAACAAAAATATTGGAACTTATTTTCGCTCATTTGAACACTATATGATTGTTACTTTTTACATATAGATTTCATTTTTTATTTCGTGCAAAATTAAGGAATTTTTATAGCGAAAATTGTCTATTGCCGATTCCAAATAGTCAATTATAATTCATTTTGCTGATTTGCCGCCGATAGTTAGGTAGAATTGTTTTTTTTTTTCTGTTCGAGTTGCATTATCACATGAAATGAACCATATCACAACGAATTGCATTGCAAGAGAAACGTAAACATATCAATCGCAATTGTGAATATCAAAGCAAAAAAAAGCAACAAGTTAATAAATAAAGTTGGAAAGAAATAATAAAAGAAAAATCGAAAATAAAGAAATTATCAAATTTGTGTGTCAGTGTGAATTTGTCTAGCCTACCCTCTCACTCCCCTCACACTCAAGTCAAGCCAATTATAAAAGAAACTAATTTGAATTTGAATATATATCTTCCTTGATTTATTTCTTTCGAAAAGACACAAACACAATTTACGCAAAAATCGAAACATCGACAAAAACAAAAATAATAAATTTCAAATGGTGCATCGCATCCACATTGTGTGTTGCAATCAAAACGATCAACAAATTAAAAGCAACATACGTAGTGATTGTGGCCGCGGTGTTTTGTGGTATGAGCGAAAAAATTCTAATAAACAACGAAAGCGAACCAAGTGTACCGTTAAATAATAATTATTATCAAAGAAATGATAACGAAAATAGTACAATAAATAAATGTTACCAATGCTCCCCCATGTTCTTTCAACGGAAACGAAATTTGAAACGACTATGGGGTTTAGCCACAACAACAGCCTCAAGTCTGAATCAAGAGCAATTGGATCAACACCAACCGCATTCGATGCAGTCGGCACATCATTTACATCATCATCATCATCACAATCACCACAATCACCATCATCAGCAACAACAACAACCTCATCAACCGAATCAAAAATGCCCGCCGCGCTCATGCAATCCAATAAAATTCGACTGTGGAGGCAGTTGTTTGTGTGGCAACTCAAATGCCGATGGAAACAGCAGCGACTGCAGCAGCATCGCAACATCAGCTCAATACCAATTAAATCCCGCCACAATGCAAACAACAAATTTGTATCAAATGTTCTATGCGCTCACCAAAAAATTAAAAGAATCACAGGTGGACACCCTGTGCCAAGCGGTAAAATATGGAACGTACGATGGTCAAACGACAAATTGTGTTTTAGTGCCGAGACTATTAATCGAAGACCAAGATCCGCATGTTATTGCATGCCGTTTGTGGCGATGGCCCGATCTACGTTATGCAATCGAATTAAAACGGATACCATCGTGCCCAAACGAAATAGATCCCGTCTATATTTGCTGCAATCCGACACATTGGTACCGGATATGTCGAACAGGTATTGCATTTGTTTTATTTCGTTCGGTTTATTCTTTTTCCTTGCCTTTTGTTATATTACATTTATGTTCCGTTTGCACCTTTATTTTCTTTCATTTCACATTTTCGTTTGTATGTTGTTCTTTTTTTGTCGTTCCCACCAATCCATTTCCCCCTTCCCATTTCCCACAAGAAACATGACTTGACCGAAAACTATTATTAAAATGATATTAAATGCGTCATTATACTGAAGACGACATAACAGATTATGCTGTACATTAGTTTTTGCCAGTTCACTTGGCGCATTTAGAATCAATCAATCTATATATTATTTCATTTTAAGCGTATTTTTAATTTCAATTTTAAATTCATTTCACCTTGATGTTATTTCAAACAGAAGAATCCTGTTACATTTCATTTCATAAAAAAAAAACACCAACATATATTTGATCATTTAACACTGCTAATTAATCTCGATCCGACATAGATAATTCACATTCCAAATTTTATGCCAACCACAAGATCAAATGGAATTCGATTTGCATGGCTGGCGAATCTACAAATTAACAAAAAAAAGGGAGAAGTGCTCCTCGCATACGACATAACTGCCATGCTAATTTACAATTTGCCGTTAGAAATTTCGTTGGGGACGATGCTTTTCATACTACCTCTCTCTCTCTCTCTCTCTCTCTCTCTCTCTCTCTCTCTCTCTCTCTCTTTTGCTCTATCCAACTATCTTGGCCACCTTATTCTGAATTGAAAATCAATTTTTGACTCAATAACATTCAAACAAGCATTCAGACATGAGAATTATACACACAATATTTTGTATCGCATATTTCGCCAAATAAACTCCACAATATTGTAGCAAAAAGGCAAAAGCCGACACACACACCGCATACAACAACAACAAAAACTTGGCGCCCGTAGAATGTCGCCCTATAAAAAAAATATACAAAAAAAAATATGACGCGACTTTTTTTTCACTTTGTTGTATATATATGCAAACACCAATACGCAATGGTGCTTAATATTTACCACAGACGACGTAAATTAGTTGCTCCGTGCGCATTTTAGTGTTATATTTGTATGATACAATAGCGTATTATTATGTGGTTGTATGGAAAGCACAATCTTCACGTTTGTTTTTTTGTTTCACTCTCTCGCCCCTCTCTGTGAGTGTTTCTGTCTCTCTGATTCGTTTTCTCTGTCAACGTATGTAGACAAAATTCTTATATTCCGTATAACCGTTTACGTTAACACATATATTTCTAATTAACAAAAAAAAAACTCATACATGATATATTCAATCCGTATGGTGTTTCAAGCAAAACGTTTCACCAAACATAATATGCTCTATCAAACGAATAAATGACTTGAATATTTTGCGATTCCAAATATCTATTTTCTACTTTTGGTTGTAATTTTTTGATTACTCTCACACAACAAAAAACCAACCTATAATGATATTTGAATTGGGGGAGTGTAGTACATTCATTCAACCAAACGAAAACCAGAAATTGAGTTGAAGAAAAAAACATAAACTGTTCAAACAAACACGTGCTATAAATAATAAATCGAGGTGACTGATATATTTGTGTCGATCATATTTGAATCATTCGGTGTGTGAATGAAATTGTCGTTAAAATCTTAAAGTGTTAAACTTTTAAGCACGAATGAATGTTGACAAATGTAATGTTTTCAATTCAAGTGGCCGTGTGAATGTGTGTGTGTGTGTCAGAAAAGCTGAAACCAGATATTCGTTTAGATATATATTCAAAGGGGAAAGAGAATACATCTCATTCCAAACATTAAGCAATCGTACATTGCTTTTAAAAGTCAACAAAAATTGTTTTTTATTTTCAGTTTGTCTCGCCATACGGCTCCAATTTGCTTTATGTCTCATATGATTGTGCAAAGTACTGACGTAGGGTTACAAATGAAAAACCGAAGTATAAAGAGCGTCCGCCACTGACGCAGACGAAAGAAACAGAAGAAACGAATTTTATTCGATGATGCTTAAGCACATCAATGATCGATGATCACATTTTTTTACGGAAATTTGTATCCAGCCCAATTCAAAGGCGCTCAAAAAACAACGAAGAGACAAAAAATAATAATCAGAAAGATAAAAAAAAAAGAAAAGAGAAACTAAATACTTTAAAAGAAAATGAAATGATACTGAAACCACAGTATTTCTCCGAAGAGAGAAAAAAGAAGAAGAAGAAGCAGTGAAAAAAAAACACAACAACATTAAAAAAAGACTCCAGAGTAATCGACACACAATGACGGCTGTGAACTTTACGGCACCGCCAATAACGAAGAATGAATCGATACACAAACCACACGCACACACACACACACATCGAGGAATCTGTTGCATTGAAATCCGAATTCGAGTTTCGTTCTCACTATCTGCTTTCAATCTGTTGGCGTCTTCATAAAAATTATAGTGTTCTCCGTGATTTACTCTTTGTCTGCCTCTTTTCATTCTCCTCTTATTTCATTCATTTCCAATAGACATATATATATATATGTATGGTATTTTTCGTCTTCATTTCTATCACATGCCATTTTGTTGTTGTTGCTGCTGCTGTTGCTGCTTGTGGTATTCAATAATGAAGATAGAGAGACAGTCCTCGTCTTCACCGCTTGAAATGCTCAATAGCCGACAAGAGCACTTTGCTCGGTTGTATGTGATGATCGCACATTAATGTGCACATCAAACAAACAAACAAACAAACAAACAAACGAGAAAAAAAAGTCATATATGAGAAAGCAAACGGCTATGATTTCCATATTGTTGCAGCATTTAGTGAGTGCTTGCAATCTGACCGATAGAAAGAAAATTGATTTTGATCAAGGTTTTTTTTTCGCTTCACATACACACAATCTTCATTTATATAATGGTTTTGCATTTTATGTTCTGGTTGTACGATTTCATATCAAGTCGATTCAGGCGCAAATGAATATATATACACACACAAGTACTTTTATACAGACACATTATACACTTTATAGACTGATACGGGGCAGTGCATGTGTATAGTCGCCGTCGCCGTTGTCGATTGAAGAAATACATACACTATGCGTTTGCGTTCGGTTCATAAACTCGCTCCTACAAAACGTATTTATATATATATATAAAGTACATATATATATATATATCGGTCGGTGCTATTTGTGTTTGCCTTTATGTTCAAAAGTCGAGCCGGCTTTATTTCAATAGCATTCTTATGGCGCCTACTATGTAATTTGTATGGAATCTTAATCCACATAAACACATGGACGTTACTATTAATGCTTTTATATTTTTTTTTCGTTCGTTGTTCGTTTTTTTCTCTCTTTTTCCTTCTTTCTACGGTTGTTCGTTTTTTCTCGTCTGCTCCTCCGCTCCGTTTGTGTTATAATTCAATCTTTTCTCGTCAGCTTTTGGGTTCAAGAATTGGATTTACACTAACCCATTTGACTCATCGTGAATGTGTGTTTTCATTTTTTATTTTATTTGATTTCACTCCCTTTTTTTCCCGTATCCATTGCATACAGGAATTCACATTTGAAACAATCGAAAATAAATGTAAGAGAATGAGAAAAAAACACGGCATAAAACAAAGACCTTTGATATGTATTAAGGAAGAATGAAACGTTTTTGTGTGTTTGTTGTTTAGCTTCGTTAAATAGAGACGAACAAAAACAAATGATATTACGGAAGAGTATTACGTTTAGTACATTTCGTGTGTCGTGAGAACGAAATGAATATTTTAAGTTTGATAATGCTTTCAATTGAATTCTGATTGTATTCCAAGGTCAAACATTGTTCGACCATTGAAAAAAATCATTTTGGCTAATTTTTCTTCGTTTTTTTGGTTGCATACATACCAAATCTTTTCGACAATGAAGAAAATAGAAGTCATCATTATAGAAAGTTCTTTCATTTAAAGAAAAGAAAAAGAACGAAACATTTTATGTGATCGAATCAAACCACAACAACGAAATACATTTTTTTTTTCGTTTTGATTTTATTTTTCGAGCAATAAACGTAAATTTGCTTTGTATGAACGAATAATGAAGAGAACTGTAGAGAAAAAAAAACCACAACCAAATAATATATTTGATAGTGCAATATGTGAACTACAACTAGTAACAATAGCAAGAAACAGCTTTGTGTAACTAATTACATTCATAAACAACATTAAGACTTATTGCTGGCGCCAGGAAATGGGCACGCGCAACGAGTAATTTTAGCAAAATTGAATAAATAGTGAACGAACTAAATATAAAATAGAATCAAACAAACAAACAAATGAAATGCTGTAAATACATGACTGCAATATGTGCATACTTTCAAATGTATGGCATATACTCCAAGCCAAAGGTACTCATCGGTGCTCATTCAGTGTATATGTGTACGTATGTACGTGTTTTTTTTTCGAATTTGAATACTTTCGCTTTGAAGACACATACACACAGGGACGCGCGCATACACACTCATACTCTGGCTGACAGGCAAGCTTTTAGTTGAAGAAAAAAAAAATGCTTTGTGTGGTCCCCATTAACGATGAACATCTATCGTTTTCTTTCTTTCTTCTTGTACACAGCAATGTACATCGGTACGGAAGAAAATGGCCACATGTAACATCTACAATCAATTGTCATTTGTTTTTATCGTTTATTGTTCGATATTTATGCTTTAAATAATGCAGCACCAGATATCATTTTAATGACATTTTAAATACATATTGAAGAACATTTTTTTAATGATCACACCCCATTATGTTAATTGATCGGAATACAATTTTTTTCTTCTCCGTCTAATTTGCCATTTTTTTTTTAAATAATTGATTGTGTCAATTGGTATAATTTGATTTGGCTTTGTTTCGATGACAAGCTCACTTGGTTTTTTCCCTTTGGTTAAAATAATAAGAAAAATCGCACTTAATCGCAGATGTTTTGTGTTAAACGTTTTGCATTTATTCAAATCGAACATGAAACATCGAAACATGCAATTACACGTAATTATAA